GTGAGGTGTCCTAAGTGTTTTATGAGCGTAAAGTATAGGTTGGAGAAAATGGTCGTACTGAAATTTCGAAAACAGGTGTTATACTACAATCACTTTTTGGCGTTATCTCTTTCTCGAGGTCTTGAGACAGATGCTTTTGGAGACAGGCTGTTTTAAAGTGTTTCGGTTCGCCTCCGACTATCCTGATGGTTGGGGAAACGAGTGAAATCATATTGGCACTAGTCCTAAAAAAAATTCCTTTATTCTATATATACATATATATATATTTTTTTTGATGACACAAGAGCTTCTTGTTACCGTGTCTCGGCACAAGGAACAACCAAGAAGTCACCGTTCCAGCTGATGTATGGCAGATGGCCGAGACTACCAACACATGATAAAACCATGCCGCAACAACAGAGATGGAATACAACAAGGTTGAGAACAGAGCGGAGACAAGCAATCAGGAATTTGAGACAGAAACAAACATCAGACATGGAGAAGTCAGAACAGGAGAGAAAGAAATGAAGACCGTTTGAAGTAGGAGACCAAGTGAAGTGTAGAGAACGGAAATATACCACAAGAAGAGGGCCAGGGTCAGGTAAGCTGATCCCGAAGTGGGAGGTCAGTCAGTCAGTCGCCACGTAGAACTTCGTACGAAATTACATCAGTTCATGTCGCCATACTACATCAGCACAGAGATGTATTTGTCAATTCAAATCCAATAGTAGAAGAGGTAGTAAAAGTATTAGAAGTAATCGAAGAGGTTAGGATTAGAAGATATTATTCAAGAAGTATGATTCAGTGAGAAAATTTTACAAAGTTGAAGAAACCAGAAGATTAGGATTTGAGAGAACACAAAGAATAAATGCACCGGGCCATTGCGAACGATTTTGAGCCATGTCATTCAAGGTCTCTAACCATCGATTATTATAATCTCGCGGACCCCAACCAGGTAGTCAACAATTACCTACATGGCTAAGTCCACTCGTTAATGACTTCATGGATTTCTGCCATGTTTTGGTTTGGCTGCCCCTAACTTTTTTCCAACCTATTCCTACACTACAAAACAAAGCTCGACGAGGCAGTCGGTGGTTAGGCATACGCAGCACATGTCCCAACCACCTCAACTGACGTTTCACCACTTCATCTATTGATCTGCCATTCTTACCTAGCACCCGCTCACTCGGGTGTCCCAGGATATACGAGCAATGCTTCGAAGACACCTATGATCGAAAACCAGTAACCTACGAATATCTTATACTCTCACTGGCCATGTTTCACAGACATAAAGTAAGACGGAGCGAACTGCTGCGCAGTACACTCGTCCTTTGGTTAACAAGCGGACATCTCGCCTGCGCCATAAGTGACGCAGGTTGGCAAAAGCCAATCGAGCTTTCTGTATCCGTGCTGAGATTTCGTCAGTCACCAGGCCATCAGCACTGATGAGACTCCCGAGATAAGTGAAGCGGTCAACATGATCAACAACTTCACTCCCTATCACTAGTTCAGATGCCGATGCAAGCCAATCCTGAGGCAACAGTTTGCATTTCAATAAAGAGAACCTCATCCCGAACATGCTTGCATTGTTGCTTAGGGTAGTCAGAAGACTCTGCATTTTGTCAGCGTCTTCACCAAGTAGGACTATGTCATCGGCATATTCTAAGTCGGAAAGCGTGTCTTCTAGTAGGTCTACTCGTGATGAGTCAGACGAAGATAAAGTTAACTCTAAAAGCATGTTTAAGACGAAGTTAAACAAGAATGGAGAGAGTGGACATCCCTGACGGATACCACTTCAAGTAGAGAATTCCAATGACAGTTCACCATAGGCTCTCACCCGACCTATAGGGTTCGAGTAGAGAGCTTGTATGAGGTTAATGTACTTATTTGGTACACCTTTCAATGACAGACACTGCCACAGAACCTCACGATCCACAGAGTCAAATGCCGCCCTAAGGTCCAGGAAAACAACTATTGTAGGACGCCTAAATGTGTGTCTGTGTTCCAGGACCTGTCGTAGTGTGAAAATGTGGTCTATACAACCACGTCCAGGTCGAAAACCAGCCTGGTTATCTCTAGTCTGCTCTTCACGAGGTTTCATTAAGCGTCAGAGTATTATTGAGGCCAATATTTTATATACTATATTAGTTAGACTTATTCCCCTGTGATTGTCACAAGAAGACTTTTGTCCTTTCTTATAGATTGGGACAATCAGTGATTGAGACCAGTTGGATGGGATTACGTCCAGTTCCCAGATTCTACCTAAGATCTCGGTCAATCTAGCTGCTAAAACTGGACCACCAACCTTAAATATCTCAGGGGTCAGTCTATCAGAACCAGCCGCTCTACCTCGCTTAGGATGTACTATAGCTTTCTCAACTTCATAAAGACTAGGGGGACTTACGCCGATACGCCATTCAGGATGAATGGAGATCGTTGGTAACCGAAGATTGGCTCGAGGCCACTTGAACTGATCCCTAAAGTGTTCTGCCCATTGTTCCAATCTCCTAGGTTGAGAATGAATGATACAGCCATACTTTTCTGAGATAGTTTCGCTAACAGATGGATTTCTAATACCGGTTTCCTTCATGAGGCTGAACAACTGTCTATTGTTGCATATTGCCACTGCCTTTTCCATCGCTCTTGCTTTCGCCACCCACCACTGTTCGCGATCGTTACGTAGGCTTTTCATAAGTCTGCGCCTAAGTTGACTTCGTTCTTCATCATGTTCAGAGCCAGGTGGGATGAGTTTTCGGGCATCCATCAGATCGGTGGATGCTACTGAGACGCAGCACACATCGATGGCACGAGATTCTAAAGTCCTAGCTAAGGAAGCCTGTTGCCCTATTTGACACAATATCCGTACATTAAATGCTCCAACATGTAGTCTAGAGTGGCGTTTAAGGAGACCAGGAACGACGTTTCGCGAACTCGCTTCGTCTGCATTAGCTGTGCACTGTGATAAATGAATGTGAGAAGAGTTAGTCGTGGAGATAAGAGAGGTACTAGGCGGTGTAGGAAGAATTTGATTTTGACCGATTTGGTCTCGCGCACTGTTACGGGTATGAGGGTGGTTGTCACTTCCCGGCTGTCCACACCGTGGAAGGTTGTTTCTTAAGGAACCTGAAAAGGAAGGTAGATTAGTGTTGGTCTTAGAGGCCTGGGTGCGCGACCGCAGAGCCCAATGGACAACTGCTTGAGGCCGGTCACGCACGGCCTTTTTATGAAACGTCTTTTGAGGATTAGCTCCGTTCTTAAAGGCCCTTAGTGGGCACACTTACCTAAGGACACGGAAATCCGTGAGTTAGGGGAGGTGTGACATTTTTAGGGCCGACCTTTCCTAACCCTTCCTTCCTAGTGAGAAGGAAGCATCACTGCAGATGCTGGTTGTCCGAGGGAAACACCTTACTGCTGTCACACCCCTCTGCAGTCAGCAGTACGACTTCGCCCTCAGACCTTGGGTAGCTGCTTTTAGTCTCATCGTTCTCCGATCGACCAGCCTGGCATGGTAGGACCTGCAGGAACATATGTTCCAGACAGTATAGCTCGGTTGGGTCATCACGATAGGCAAGCCCGACCACCACGTCAAGGTAGCAGCTACGGGCGGGCCGAAGTGGGAGGGACCGTACGTAGTCACCGAGAGACGCGGCGCAGTGTATACGATCCAGAAAGGAAACAAACAGAAACGCGTGGGTGCCAGTCAACTTCAAAGGTGGTTTCAGGTGCGCCAAGAGGGCGAGCCACAAACTCTGATAAAGAAGACTGCTGTGCGGCGATCAGAAAGACTGAGGGGGCGACTTGTTAGAAGGGGGACGAGTGTGGTGTGTGCTACTTATACGGATGATATAAGTAGTATAAGAGGAAGGGACGTGAAAGAAGAAGTCTCACGGTCACAAGAGGAAAACGGAAAGCAAATTGAGCAAAAAGCAAGAAGTAAATGGAGTACCAAAAGAAAAGAAAAGAAGCAACAACAGGAATGGAAGAAGGATGGAGTGTTGGAAGGCACGACTCAAAGATGGTGTGCAAATAGAGTATTCAATGTAATGTTTTCGTTTTTAATTGACTAAGTGTAAATCTGCTAAATACAATCATCCGCGCCTGCCTCAGTCTTCTCAACTTGTGTCGCTGCCTCTACACAGGATGAAGACCCCATGGCCTCGGGAGTTTGAAGACGGAGATGTAAGGAGCTTCTTGAAGGAGTTCGAAGCCGTGGCGGAGCTGGTAGGAGTCAAGGAGCAGAGGGCGAAGGTGGTGGCGTTGGGGACTCTACTAAGAGGCAGGGCGAGAGCGGTGTACGATGGTGTGGAGGACGCTGACTGGGAGGTGGTGACGGAAAGGCTGCTGGTGGAGTTCGACAGCCCGGCGGATAGGCAGGACGCACTGCAGAAGTTCAGAGAGGCGAGACTGAGGGCGGATGGCGACCCGCTCGTGCTGGCTGTGGAGATGACAAGATTGCTGTACCGGGGTCTGCCGAATTTGGATGAGGAGTCGCAAGCACAGCTGCTGGCGTCGCAATTCATTGAAAGTGTGCCTGCAGAGGATGCCCAACAGTTGAGACTGGTGAACGCAGCACAACCAATGGACGTCACTGAGCTGGCAAAAGTAACGAGACAGCTGATGAACCCAACAGTCGCCTCGTTGGCATGTGAGAGACAGGCGGATGATGTCGCAAAGAAGATAGAAGAGTTACAACGCGAGGTGGGAGCGTTACGAGTAAAGGGTGGGAGAAATAATAATAAATGCTATATTTGCAGAGGAACCGGGCATTGGAAGTGGAATTGCCCAACAAGACGAAAACTTAAACATTTTAGACCATATGCATGGTGTTCTTTATGTCCTGTGAAACTGGGGGTCGCGGCAGTAGTAGATAGGGGGCGGTCTATGCGAGAGTAGGGATAAACAAGCGAGAGGTTTCTCTCACTCCTTTACAAACACAGGGTATTTTCACGGTCTTGCAACTTACAATTTACCTACCAGCAAGTGGACGTAAAACTAATCGTCTGGAATAGAAACAGTAAGCTCGAGGTTAAAACGACGCGGGCTGTTCGATATGGACGTAACACCGCGTGAACTTGAAGAAATAATTGTATGTTTGGCGTATCTTTTATGAGTACATCTGGCCTAAAGTATAACTGTCAATTTTTTTCAAATTATTAAACCCTACTAGCAAGCACTACGTCTGTTGTCATCATTTGAAAAAAAAACCTATTTACTGACTTTTAAAAATTTAGATGTAATTACTGATATAACCACTGACATTTTGCTAATGATTATTGTAGTCTCGTTAAGTGGTTATCCATTTTTTTAATGGAGATGCAAATAAAACATGTATTCGACAACCACCTAAATATCTGTTTTATGCCCTTTCCTTAATAAGTGTTATTGCTATGTTAACTTCAACTATTGTTATTTATTTCCGAGATAGTGTCATCATGCATCTTGAGACACGGGTGACATCGAAAATGAGCCGAATTTCCTGGTGATCTATTCCAACAACACTTATATACCCTTTGGAACTCAGTAGAGTTCTCAAATAGCTTTAGAGACTCCCAGGTTAAATATAGTAAAAACAGTTCCTGACATATTTCTAAAAGTGGGCATGTTAATTTTTAAAGTAGTTAGCCGTCAGTCTTCATTTCTGGTAGCTACCATTTTGCTTATTTTCGATTATCAGCTACTTTTAGGATTAACGTAATGACTTCTCGGCGTGTTAATTTCCCAATACTTATATGTGCCAGGTGTTACACTGGTCCTCTTTGCCTGCCTGTCTTATATACAGCATGATTCGAACCTCAATGAAAATCGGCTAATGGTGCACAGTCATACTTATCTGGAAAAAGCCACCATAGGTCTTAAGATATACAATCTTAAGAATAAATAGGTTTTCCGAGAGTGCAGCCATTAAGTTTATGGGTTGTGGTTGCGTTCCCTACAATGTGATTCAAGTTTAAATTTAGATTTACGAGAAGTAAATGCAGTAAGTTTTCAAAAAATCATAGTGTGAGGTATTTTTTTGTCAGTCAATCATAATAAGCACGTAACAGCTAAATTTACTGGCTCAGTTCGTCATATCACATACAGACAGACAGATACAACGCAGAACTTCGTACATAAGTGCATCAGTTCAGGTTGCCATACCACGCCAGCACAGAGACAAAACTGTCAGTTCAAATCCAAGAGTCACAGCGATGGTATGATTATTAGGAGCAATGGAGAAGATTAGGGATCGAAGATATGATTCGAAAAGTATAATTCAGTGAGATAACTTTAGAAGGAGAAAGATAGAGATGGTGGAGAATTCAGAAAGTTAGAATTCGAGAGAACACAGTGAATGAGTGCACCTGCGCCTTTGCAAACGATTTTGAGCCATGTCGTTCAAGGTCTCTAACCATTGGTGACTTTCGTCTCGCGGACCCCAACCAGGTAGCCTACATCTACCAACATTACTCAGTCCACTTGTCAGTGACTTCATGGATTTCTGCCATGTTTTTGTTTGACCACCCCTAGCTTTCTTCCAACCTACTCCCACACCACAAAATAGCTCGTCGAGGTAGTCGTTGGTTTAGAATTCGTAACACATGTCCCAACCACCTCAACTGATGAAGTCTCAATATTTCATCTATTGATCTACCCGTTTTCTAACAACAGCATTGCTCACTCGGTTGTCCCACGACACACGAACAATGCTTCGGAGACATCGATGGTCGAAAACCAGTAACCTACGAAAGTCCTCTACCCTTAACGGCCATGTTTCGCATCCGTATAGTAGGACGGAGTGAACTGCTGCGCAGTATACTCGTCCTTTGGTTAACAAGCAGATATCTCGCCTGCGCTATAAGTGACGCAGGTTGGCAAAAGCCAATCGAGCTTTCTGTATCCGTCCTGAGATTTCGTCAGTCACCAGGCCATCAGCACTGATGAGACTCCCCAGATACGTGAAGCGGTCTACACGTTCGACTACTTCACTCCCTATCACTAGTTCAGGTGCTGATGCAACCCAATCCTAAAGCAACATTTTGCATTTCGAGGATGAGAACCGCATCCCGAACATGCTTGCATTGTTGCTTATGGTAGTCAGAAGACTGCATTTTGTCAGCGTCTTCATCAAGTAGGACAATGTCATCGGCACATTCTAAGTCGGAAAGCGTGTCTTCTAGTAGGTCTACTCGTGAAGAGTCAGACGAAGATAAAGTTAACTCTAAAAGCATGTTTAAGACGAAGTTAAACGAGAATGGAGAGAGTGGACAGCCCTGACGGACACCACTTGATGTAGAGAATTAAGATGACAGTTCGCCATAAGCTCTCACCCGACCAGTGGTGTTCGAGTAGAGAGTTTGTATAAGGTTAATGTACTTCTCTGGTACACCTTTCAATGACAGACACTGCCACAGAACCTCACGATCCACTGAGTCAAATGCCGCCTTAAGGTCTAGGAAAACAACAACTGTAGGACGTCTAAATGTGTATCTGTGTTCCAGAACCTGTCTTAGTGTGAAGATGTGGTCTATACAACCACGTCCAGGTCGAAAACCAGACTGGTTTTCTCTAGTCTGCTCTTCACGAGCACTAGTTAGGCGTCTAAGTATAATCGAGTCTAACAATTTAGAAACTATATTAGTTAGACTTATTCCCTTGTGATTGTCACAAGAGGACTTCTGCCCTTTCTTGTAGATTGTGACTATTAGCGACTGAGACCAGTCAGATGGTATTACACCCAGTTCCCAGATTCTACCTAAGAGATCAGTCAATCTAGCTGATATAGCTGGACCACCATCCTTAAAAATGTCAGGTGTCTATCTATCAGGTCCTACTGCGCATATAGACTGAGAAATCAATAGCATTGGTATTCGATCATACTTTTAGGAATTATAGCGGCAAAAACGTAAATCAGCAATTCCATGCTAAATCAAATATTGTCATTTTTATCAAACCAGTCGTTAATTATCTGGTTTTTAGGGTGCAACTTCACCTGACACCATCAAATATGGAAAGCGGAAAGCTGAACATAACCCTTTAAGCAAAAAGTCAAAACGCTTAAAAGCTGAAAATTCGATTTTAACTCCTGAAAAACTCATCGAGACTCAAGCTTCAAAACGTGTCGTTGAAGAATGTAAGCCTACAAAAAATGGGTTTAAAAATCACGACATTCATAAAGAAATACAAAGTATCTTAGAATATCGTAATAAATGTACGCTGAAAATTCACGGACTCCCCGCAAAGACAACCATAAATGAATTGGAAAAACTGGCTCCAGAAGCAAAAGCCTATCGTTTACCATGGATAACTCGTCTTTACCGATGTCATGGATTTGCGTTCTTAGAGTTCGAATCAGAAGAACAAACCTTGATGCATAAGGAAAAGCTTCACAAATCGCCTTATGGTAATAAAACTTTATTCGCTAGTGTGGGGAAGTTCATATCAGAATGTATTGGTAAGTTCGATAGCTGAATTTACCTCATTAATTAACTATTCAGATGACTATGATTGCAAAATGCTTGTTCTTTATGGAGTAAATTATAATGTTAAAAAAGGTGAAATAGCAAGAAAATTTCCATCTTCCACTAATATATCTTTCGACAAAACCAGTCACTTAAATGCTAGGCGTAAACCCGGCATTGTCTACCTAACTTTTGCTTCAGAAGAAGATGCTGTTAATGCGATTAAATGTAGACAAGGCTGCTTATTGAGAGGTAAAAAGATATCCATTCTTTTCCATACGAAACGACAAGAAACAAGGTAAGCTTATTTAAGCGTAATTTTGATCAATCACTAAAAGCAAAAATTGTCTTTTAGTTCGTGGTCTAAGCAAAAAGGTTACTGAAAATGATCTCCTGGTTGTTTTTCCTCAAGCATCCACGGTTCACATCAATCATTTTCGTGGTGAAGCTCAAATTATGTATGATTTAGAGGAGGATTGTCTTTTGGATCAAAAACAAGCAAAAGATATGTTAATTGGTGGTCGAAAAATTCAAGTTTTTCCAGTTTCTGTTGGTAAAAAGGATAAGTCCTGTCCAGTGCCTAAAACTGAACAGTCTGGTAATCCTAACTCAGATGTTTCGTCAAGTATTGTAATAGACAAATGTACTCTACCTTTATGTGAAGAAACTATTTTTAAATTATTTCCAAAAGCAATTGATTTCTGCATATCACCCCAATCAGCTTCTGAAAATGGGTAAGCTTATTTTAATTACTCTGAGTTTATTGTCGTGTACCTAACTTTCGTCATGAGTGTCATGATAACTTTATCACTAAATTTTTAAAAATTCTTTTATCTAGTTTGGGTATATCTAACTGTACTTGTCTAAGCCAATTTAATAGGTAACTAACTTTTTCATTTAGCGAAATTAAGTGTGGAATGTTCGATGGTTTTTAGAGTAGTTTCAATCAAAATATAGCATTTTTAAGTTACAGGATAAACTAAGTAATACGAATGTTGTAATTCCTACCATTCATCATTGTTTCCTGTACGTTTGGAAGCATTCAGTATATTAAAGATCACTTCGTCAACTTCCGTTCACGATATAGTTTCTTGGTTTTCATTCGAACTTAAACCTATAAATATTTTCGTTCTACAGTTAGCTTCTTCTACGGTGTTAGCCTATCAGGACCAGCCGCTCTACCTCGCTTAAGATTTACTATAGCTTTCTCAACTTCATAAAGACTAGGGAGACCGGAGATCGTGGGTAACTGAAGTATGGCTGAAGGCTAGTTGAACTGATCCCTAAAGTGTTCTGCCCATTGATCCAATCTCCTAGGTTGAGAATGAATGATACAGCCATCCTTTTCTGTGATAGTTTTGCTAACAGATGGATTTCTAATACCGGTTTCCTTAATGAGGCTGAACAACTGTCTGTTGTTACATATTGCCACTGCCTTTTCCATCGCTCTTGCTTTCGCCACCCACCACTGTTCGCGGTCGTTGCGTAGCCTTGTTATCAGCCTGCGCTTAAGCTGACTTCGTTCTTCATCATGTTCAGAGCCAGGTGGTATGTGTTTTCGAACATCTATCAGTTTGGTAGATGCTACTGAGATCCACGGCTTCTTCCTAGCCTTATGATTTACCTTACATCACTGCTGTTTCCACAGCTTTTTGGATATCATTCCGAGCTGCCTCCGGATGGGGATTGCTTACATGGTCGCCTAACTGTTTTTCTAGTTGCTCCTGAAATATATTCATAGCGAGCGACAGTCCTCTATCGAACCTCTCCATCGATGGCTGATTGCGATGTGATCTAGTTGGGTGCAGCACTGTGACGACGTTGGGGGTCGCCATGTCAAGAGATGCTTTTCCTTATGCCTGAAGTTAGCGTTTGCAAGAAATAAGCGGTTATCTGAGCATAGTTGCAACAGACGGTCGCCGTTGTCTGTTCTCCGAGCCGCCACACCATAACATCCACCAAGGTGTCTCTTCTGCTCACTTAGTCTACCTACTTGAGCATTAAAGTCACCAGCCATTATTACTACATCAGAGCGCCTAGCTTTTTGGAGGAGGTACGAAAGCTTTCTGTAAAACTCATCTTTCAGCTCGTTTGAACTGCAGTCAGATACGACGAAGAGGCAACGGCGATTGTCCCTATCTTTCCGAATCCTTACTGTCCTGTTTAGTAGGACAGCGCACATGCGACTATCTACTGGGATCCAATCTAAGAAAGCTTGTTCTGCAGATGCTGGTTTTCCGAGGGAAACACCTTACTGCTGTCACACCCCTCTGCAGTCAGCAGTACGACTTCGCCCTCAGACCTTGAGTAGCTGCTTTTAGTCTCATCGTTCTCCAATCAACCTGCCTGGCATGGTAGAACCTTCAGGAACATATGTTGCGGCCAATATAGCTCGGTTAGGTCATCACAATTGACAAGCTCGATCACCACGGCAAGGTAGCAGCTACGGTCGGACAATAACTTGTGTGGCGCATAGGTATATAGGTGTTCCTTTGTACCGATATTTGTGTTTAAATAAATGAAACATTTTTTATGGAGTGAACTTCCTCTCTGTTCTTTTATTTTAAGTGTGGCATGTGTTAAATTCGCCACTTTATCACACGCAAAACGAGCGATCAAGTCATTAGATGGCAATTCAATGAGGGCTAGAATAGCCAATCCTAAACGAATGAGACTTCTTGGCTTTTCTGAAAAATTTACCAAGGAAACGAAGGATGAAGGAAGTGTATCTCTTTCTACTAGTAAAGCTGAGCAGACAAAAAGTGATCACAAGTTCAAAAGAAAGGATAAAAAACACCACAAATCTAAAACTCATTTTTTGAATAAACATGTAATTTCCTAAATTAATATAATACTAAAACTTATCTTGTCTTCTGATTATTTCTGTGCTTGAAACTTTGAAACTGTGCAACTTCCATCAATCGATTATTGAATACTAGCTATATATGAGTCGATTCTTACAACTGATTTCAAAAACATCTACCCCGAAAATTCACTTTTAACAGACATCTCGTATTCCTTAATGTCGGATAATAATTATTGCGAAACTAAACATAAATAACATAAAAGACTAATCATTGAAAATATCGCAACACCAATCACGATTATAGAAGCAAAACTACCTAATGTTTACTTCCATATCAACTTCATACTCAGGAACCGTGTTCCTCGAAACTCACATCTTGCAAATATTCATGAAAATGTTTCATAATATCCACGGATATAAAGCTATATAGAAAGACTCACCGATACATACATCTCGAATCATATATCAGATACCTAATCGCCGGCCTTACTCCTAATGCTTTTCAATCCTTTACTGCAGTATGGTTTCCGTTCCCAAATTAAAGCATCTCTCATAAAATATAATGAACTGTCGAATGATGTACATTAATATGAAGGTCTACGTTGCAGAACAGTAACTGCATACCAAACCAAAAAACCTCCAAACTAAATTAAATAATAAAACTGCCTAAAACTAAGTCACAAACCAAAACACTACTAAACTAACTATATTCAAATTAGCGTTACTTTCTCGTATTTTCCAAACGGAAATGAGTGGTTGGTGAATTTCTGAGATTGTGTAAGACAGTAGTTATTGGCTGACCGAGTAGAGTTTGTGTTTGTGTGATGTAGTTGTATGTTGTATCATGTGCGGATGTTGTTTTCGGATAGTAATGTTGGGACTTTATTGGCGTGATAAATTGGTTGTATTCAATTGGTGATATGCAGGTGTTTGCAGTGAGCTCACTTTCAACCCAGTTTACTCTGAGGGTTTGACACTGCGTAAACAACTGGTCCGTTTATACTTTTGTGTTTGTCTGAAACTGAACATGTATACTTTTAAATGTATGGCCGTATATTTATGTATACATATATATATATATATATTTATATATATATATATCTATTATTATATGTATATATATGTAAATGTATAATGTTTGTGTGTTTGAATATGGATAATTGTGTTAATTGGACGTTGTGAACGACTCACATAATGTTTGATTGTGTTGGATATTTGTTGATGATGGGTGGTCGAATGGACGTGTCTTTTTGGAGGAGGTCCGAAAGCTTTCTGTAAAACTCATCTTTTACATCATCTGGGCTGCAGTCAGTGGGGGCGTAGGCTGATATGACGAAGAGGCAACGGCGAGTGTCCCTATCCTTACGAGTCCTTACTGTCCTGTTGAGTCGGACGGCGCACAAGCGACTATCTACAGGGATCCAGTCAAGGAGAGATTGTTCTGCCCTACGACTCAATGCTATACCTACACCGGCGAGGCCCCTAGAAGCAGCATCAGGGCTACCGGATACACGAAGGGTAAATCGAGCTGCTTCTTTATCTTGACATGGTGAGGTCAAATGAGTGGTGCTACTCGGATCCTGTATGCGCGTTTCCGAGACGCAGCACACATCGATGGAACGAGATTCTAAAGTCCCAGCTAATGATGCCTGTTGCCCTATTTGACACAATGTCCGTACATTGAATGCTCCAACATGTAGTTTGGAACGGGGTTTAAGGAGACCAGGAACGACGTTTCGCAAACTCGCATCGTTTGCATTAGCTGTGCACTGTGATGAATGAATGTGAGAAGAGTTAGTTGTGGAGATAAGAGAGGTATTAGGGAATGTAGGAAGGATTTGATTTTGAACAATTTGGTCTCGTGTGCTGTTACGGGTATGAGGGCGGTTATCACTTCCCGGCTGCCCACACTGTGGAAGGTTGTTTCTTGAGGAACCTGAAAAGGAAGATAGATTAGTGTTGGTGCGTGACCGCAGAGTCCGAGGGACAACTGCTTGAGGCCGGTCACGCACGGCCTTTTTATGAGAGGTATTTAGAGGATTAGCTCCGTTCTTAAAGGCCCTTAGTGGGCACCCTTACCCAAGGAGACGGAAATCCGTGAGTTAGGGGAGGTGTGACATTTTTAGGGCCGACCTTTTCTAACCCTTCCTTCCTTGTGAGAAGGCAGCATCGCTGCAGATGCTGGTTGTCCGAGGGAAACACCTTACTGGTGTCACACCCCTCTGCAGTCAGCAGTACGACTTCGCCCTCAGACCTTGGGTAGCTGCTTTTAGTCTCATCGTTCTCCAATCGACCTGCCTGGCATGGTAGGACCTGCAGGAACATGTGTTCCAGCCAGTATAGCTCGGTTGGGTCATCACGATAGGCAAGCCCGACCACCACGTCAAGGTAGCAGCTTCGGTCGGGATCAATCGACAGTCACTAATGGCACTAAACAGATGTTATGTTTTACGGCAGGATGCATTATTTACTTGATAACCCCTGAATAGGAAGATTTTGCCAACTTATCTTATAAATAACATAAATTATACATTAGTTAGGAATTCTTAAATCTAAAGCGAAGACTAATTAGTATGGTATTAACAAATCAAATCTATGTGATTCTGTGATGCGATCAATAGTATGAAAGTAATACCAGATGTACTTATTATTAACTGCAGCGATTAATCCATTGTATAGAGAGGTTCATTTTGAATGGAACTGGTCATTAACATTAACTGATTATTAAACAGTAACCAATATCATGCTTAACTAGTCCTTACTGCTAAGTGAATTCTAACGGTCAGGTTACTATTTAATCATCAATCTAATTAACTTTACATCTTCATTTCTGTGTATTAGTACTATGTAGTTGAAACTCGATAACAATAAAAGATTCGGTAATATCACAAACCATTCAGTCGTCGACCCGGGACAAATATATCAGTTGCACAAGAGGTTGATCTCTGCTGAACTATCTCGTTCATGGAGTCTACGATTGTGGCATTGGGTAGTGGTAATTTAAATCCATCTAGCTGAAAATTTTAGTCTCTCCTTGTCGACTTAAGTTCACCGGTACGAAATTGAATTATATCTAAGGGTAAAAGATATATTATTAAGAAAATCATTTTCCATATTTGACTGTATTGATAATAAAACAATGTAATTCTCCTCTTAGTGACTCAATTTTATTCATTTTCACAATTATTGTTATTATTAGTAATAGTAACTTGAGTGATTTTTATCAGATGAGAACATTGTTTCTACAGTTAAGATATTTCTAGACATTTTTATACGTCATGATTTGTGTGTAAAATGTATTCGATTAAGAAATCGTATCCTGATTGTTCAAAAGAATTTCATAATACAGAATGATCAAAGTCGACAGTAGCATCAAATGGTATGATAAACTTAAGAAAACATTTTTTTAAAAATCATTTTATTCTATGCATTGTAATAAGAAATGAATACGTCATTTGTTTAAATTTATATTTTCATATTGCACGGGGGTTAGAGTTACAATACGTCAATTCTTTCATGAGTGCATTGTACGGACATTTTCAACACAAATCCAGTGATTGACATCAGCAACAAGAAAATACACACACTCACAAATATAATTGCTACTGACTGTACAGAATAATGACTATCTGGACTCTACAGCTCCATGTATATCATGTACGGATTACATGAGCAATGTACTATGTTCTCATGGTTGTGTGGACATCAATAGTGCAGTTCAGATGTATGCCGTTAACGGGTCCCAAACAGTACTACTACACACATGTCTTCTATTTAACCGATAACTGAAATCTAACTTCAGTTTGTTGAAAATCATTCCATTCCTTCTGGTAGATTATGAATTTGACTATTGAAAAAGTGCTCATTTGCGCTATTATGGCGATGTAAAATTTCCAGGTTGATTTTCATCCTAAACTCTTAATAACTGAAGATGAATGTTAACAACTAGCACATGACATTGACTAATAATCATGCTACATTGTAAATTAACTGGAGTGAGAACAATCTCCGTCCTATTGGGCCGAAAATTAACCATGAAATCTGAAGAGTTTTGCTTTGATCCAGCACAGAATCATGATTCTATGATGTTGAGGAACCGACCATACACTAACACAATTAAATTTCAGTCGAATTCCTCTTAATTTCGAATATTTCTTCACTTAGTGATAATTCATAATAAAAATCATTGTCAAATATACTCAAATCCATCAAACCAAATAATCAATAATTATAGTTGAATGATGTAACATGCAAATTTGCATTATCATTATTTCATGCTAACACATCAGTAGATAATTGGTTATTGATAGATGGGAGTTTTGTAGTATGGTCACTGTGAATATACCAATGGATCATGAAATGGAGTCAATACAAGATATAGTAGAAACCTAGAAGGGATAAATCAGTATTTAATTTTAATTTCATGGTCGTTGCTATCACCGATTAAGGATTTCCATACCATCTGGTAAGCACAAAATTATTCGGTCATTGAACAGCAACTCTAGAATGCGAATGTTTCATTTTCCTTCAATTAACTGTACACAGTAAACATGATCGAATGCTACTGCTGAATAATCGTTTCATTACTGAACTGAGTGACTTCGTAGTTCACAGTTTAAACGTGAAGTATCAGTGAACCCATCTGGAATAATTGATGTGAAGAAATGAATTGAAATGTTGATAGAAGAATGAAAACAACTAGAATTTGCAGTCTAACTCGGTAATGATGCAATTATCTCATTTCATTTCATTTCATTTTTCAATGTACTACATGAAAGATCACATGTTGTACTTTTTAGGCTTACATTTTAATTGACATCAGGTGATCACAGCTAGATTCTGTAGTCATTTACATTGGAGTGGATTAATTCATTTAACTGAATAGGGTACATATTCAGGTTCATCGAATTGATAATAACAATCATAATGATGGGTATAATACTGATAAGTTCTATATAATAAGAACTATCAATCTTACTTTCATTGATAACAAATCTCAAAAAAAAAAATTAATTGAATGGCTTGAAGATAACAGTGATTATTCGTTAATGAAAACCA